GTTAAAAATAGGTGTTGCTATTTAAAAAAAAGTTTTAACTGCGCGTGCGCAGACCAAATTCTCAACAAATTTTGAAATGTATCGAAAAACGTGTATTCATATACCATCAGTTTGTAAAAAAAAATTGATTTATTCCAAACAAATTCGGCCRAGAAATTCAGTGTTCCCTAAATCGGTGAACACACTGTATATGTGTGATTGCTATTCAAAAGCTCAGAATCATATTATAAAATAGAAATATATGACAATATTAAATACTTATAGGGCTATTGGTCATTTATTTTTTTAAATATCAGTAGATACCTTATATGTATTAATTCAATCATTTAGATTGGTTATCAAGTTTAATATTTTATCTAAAATACACGGATATTTAAAACTGAATAGTTTTCCATTGAGACAAAACTCTATTTTTTTGTAATTCATTAAAATGAACATATTTCATAGTTACTTAATTGTTCTRTATAACTATACAAGATGATGATAAAATTTTAATAACAACTCACTATCTCGGCATAAAAATGTTTAAACATAATTTAAAATATAATGATTAACACTAAATATTACAAAACCATTATTCTAATATTTTTTAATGATAATTTATACATTTTATATATAGATGTACAATACTAAACTGTTTTTGTACTTTAATAAAAAGTATGGAATTTAATTGATACTTAAATAAAATATATATGATACACAATACCTAAAGAAAAATATTTCTCTCGTTTTTCTTATTGCTACTTATTATATTGTTGAAATAAAAACACAAAAAATATTGAGGTAGTCTTATAGGTACGTATAATATCTTGATGAGATGGATGTAGGCAATGTCGAATGAATGTTGAGTGTGTGACAAATTATAATTCTTACAGTATAAATTAATTGTACAATAAACTAAGAAAGTTTCACCTATATCAGTGAAAATTAAAAATACCACAGAATAAATAAATGTATTACAAAATGTTTAAACATTAGAACAATACCTAAATAACTAACTTTGTTTTTTTATTTTTAMATAAATGTTTAAATTCTTTCTGTGATTTTTAAAGTTAAAAATGCCTTGTGAATTAAGATGAAAAGACTAACCTTTGAATAAGAAACTAAGTAAAAATAATTCAGTAATTAAATTTGTTCACTGACTAAACGAGCAGTAGTCAGTAAACAGTGTTAACTGAACACAAACAACAATTTAAATTAGATGTAGTAAATTCTAGATTATTTTTTTGCAGAACTATGTAGGTACAGTACTAAAATTGTATTCATGCAGAATATAAGTTTTTGGGAAAAATCAAATGTAAATGTTATATATTTTAGTAAAAACACATTATCTGTTTATCTAAAAATACTATTTGATATTATCTACCTGTTTTACCTAGATTAAATACCATTTTTTTTACTAAATTTGTATTTTACAAATTAACCTCAAAATTCAAAAATCTATGGTTACCATGCCACCATAGATAATTGAATTTATTGGAATAATTTAAAATGTGAATTGTTTGAGAAAATGATTGACTGGGATAGTTCCAATAATATTCTCATGCATATCTGATTTTTTYTTCAAACCTACAGTAGATACTATTGTATAATAAAACCCAGAAAACGTCAGTTTACATATGGACCTAACCCATGATTTTGTTATAATGATAATACTATTTATATATTTAATAGATTAGAAATTATTAGGTAAATACAAGGCAATGTACCTATATATCTTACAATGTTGTTTACACAATTTTTTAACTGTTTGTAAAAATTTGAAATGTGAATCTAAACAAACAATAACCACGAACACAAAACATTTTTATGTTGGGTATTGTTTAAGTTATATATCATTAATTACCTGCTTAATAGTTATAGGTTCTTCCTCTAACGTTAAATATTTGGGTATGACACTAGACAAAAGACTTACCTGGGCCACACATATTAAACAAAAACGGCTCATACTAAATGCCAGAYGAAGAGCACTCTTTCCACTTATTGGGAAACAATCAAAAATGAACCTTAATACAAAACTGCTACTATACAAAACCCTCTTCAAACCAATTTGGCTATATGGTATCCAACTATGGGGATCAGCAAAAAAATCAAATATTTRTAAAATCCAAACATTCCAATCAACCTCACTACGCATGATTACATGCGCCCCTCCGTATGTTTCAAATCATACCTTACATTCAGACTTAMAAATACTCAATGTCAAAGAAGAAGCCAAAAACTCCTACAAACTTTTCCGTGCCMGTCTTGCAAACCACTCTAACCCTCTAATCCTTGCTCTAAACTCTGAGTCCAYTCCTGGGAACYCACCTAGAAGGTTAAAGCGTAGCTGGAACCGTGACTTAAAATAATTCTAACCCTCTTGCCAGTAAGTGTTGCCGCTGGGTGATTACTTCATCAAGTCCAGACAAGTCAATCATGTCATTAAACGTAAATCCTCAAACATGCTTATTGTAAAATGTATTTATAGATTGTATGTATTAAAAATAAAATTTAAAAAAATAGTTATAGGTTATAATTAAGTTTTATTTTTTGTCAGGTGATCAACTAAAAAATTAATAATGAATTAATCACTATTATAGAAATTTTCAAAGCAAAACTAATTTACAAGCATTAAAAAAAGTATTTTTTATAAYCAATTTAATAAGATGGTCATAATATTTAATTACTTTAAAAGGTAAAAATTTTAAAAATAATTCTAGATTTACCAATTGGTAAATACAATGGTTTTATTGGCATAATAATATTCAATTATAACGCGATAAYTGAACTATGAAAAATAATTTAAATACATATTATAAAAATCACAAATTGTTTAACTATGTAGGTAGATGAAAAAAAGTACCTAAACTTTTTATTTTTTTATATATGTATGTAAGTTAACTGAAAAATTAGTTATTTTGTAATCAACAAAAATAGAATATAAAAATGTGTAATAAGAAAAAATAGCATTAATGCATGGTCCACATTATGTACCTACTTAGATGAATCTTAAAACTACCAGAAAATGATTTAAATCTTATAAAATAAGATTATGGGATTGGGCTTAAGCATAAACATTAATAAAAATGATGTGTTAACCTAAAAGGGATCTTCTATGATTAAAAGTAACACAAAATGCTATTGGTTATGCAATTGTTGACATTTCATCAAGTGGAAAAACAATTTAATAAAAACAATAGATGGTGAATTATAATATGGTTTTAATGATTTGATCAAATTTGTCTTAGCTATGAATACCCAAGTAGGTTAATAAAATATAATTGAGTACTTAAGGACTAAGTACACCGTTGACAATAATAACGTTATCTCTTAAAACACTCACGCGATCGTTAACATTAGATGTTTCGTCGGCCACCTCGAGGTCGATGTTCGAAACAAACCTACAACTGAAAACGGCATCGACGAGGGAACGAAACTAAATGCGAAAAGCAATTGGAATACATTCGGAACATGTCCTGCTTAGGAAACCTCAGCGAGGTTGCAGATGAAAAAAAAATATGGCACACACCGTCATGGCCGCTATAGACCGCTCAGTTTTCGAATGACGATAAAAACTCGATTACCGAATAAAWAACATTTAGGATCCCAAATGTCTTATAATATGTTGTCAAACACACGGAAATGTAATAGTTATGAACACACTTACCGGAATGCGATGACACGGCGATCGAATGATGTGTCGAGTGTGCCTTCGGTCCGCTAGGTCTTTGAAGTTCGAACGTGTCAGTGTTTGTGCCGTTTGTGGCGATTGCCTCTCATATCAKACGCCTGCTGCTCGAAGGTAAGCGACGAAATAACAAGTAACAACTACAATATGTGAATAATGAATATTATATTTAATGTAACGATTAGTTAACTTAAATATAATAATTTTCGTTGAATCGTGAATTGTTATTAGTTTATTACGCTGTACGCATCTGTAGTCTGTACGGATTGCGWAGCAGAATGATCGTAAAATTGTACAAGATGGCGGACGCCCGACGATCTAACGTTCACGCACACGTTTACATAATTTTTATTGTGTAGGATGCAGTGGATGCACTGAAATCCAGAGAACCGACCCGACCCCATTCCATATTCTGTGACTGTTTGAGAAGTCCTGAAGTGTTACCAACATTCCGGTTCCACAAAATCCGCGCCCCGCGGTCGTAACTATTTTCTATGGTCGTAACTCGTAATAGTCGTAATCATAAATCAGAACAACAGAGTAACAGACTGTTAGAGAAAAACGAAGAACATAGAAATTAGAAATATCGAATTGAACAAATTCGATGAATTTGATTAGGATTTCGRAATTCGGAATATTCGGATTGCATTGCAATCATTGAAGCCTGAATCACTGAATAGATTAAATTAAATTAAATTAAATCTATTCTGTGCCTGAACCCTGAAGGTGATAATGGGGGAAAAAACAGTCCACAACATAAAAACAAATTTGCTGTGCAGTCTGTGCACGGTGCACCAGAGTATATAATTATTTTTATTCGTGTTTTGCTTCACAGTTAATAGTTTAACCCTTCACTGAGTTCACTGCATGATTTTTTATTAAGTAAAAAAAAAAATGTTTTAAATAGATTAAGTCCTGTAGAATCCATTAAAATTATTAAAAAAATTCAGTTATAAAATGTAGATACTCAATTTGACTAAATTTCGAAAAATGCATATATGCATTTCTATGCACTATCGACAAACAATAATTATTACATCTCAAATTTTGAAATGCGCGTATGCACTTCCATGCGTTATTAATATATTATGTAATTTTACAATTTATATAATAATTATTGAGAAAAACCAATATTATAAAATAAAATTATAAATAAGCACATGATTAATAAAATTGTAATWGTAAATATACCACAGGCCAATGGCCATAGACTTATAATCTAACTTAATTGTTATATAGTTAATAAATATACATTTATATATATGATTATATAATAAATATTAACAGTATTTTAGTTGTACACACATCGACAAAATGATTTAAAAATATTATAGTAAGTAAGAACGTATGTAAAATAAATAATAATGTAATATATTTATGTTTTTATGGATTTGTGAAGTGGGGTGGTTGCGTGTGCGTGTTATTTCCGCTTTTTATCAATTTACGTGTTCTTATCAAGTCGTAGTTAATGATTAWTATTGTTATAACTTTATAAGATATTATATCTTTCATTTATGTATATATATATTTGATAATACCTGTATAAATATTACGTATTTAYGTGAATATGAGCACACACTCATACGCCCGCACGTAAATCATAAACGCACACATAAATTATACATACATGTAATATTAAAAAAAAAACCATTTACCTATTTTACCAACAATTTCTATTGTTTGAACCATTCATGACTAATTAGTGATACCGTTGTTCCTATTTCCATTTTACGTTACGTTAACGTGCACACGAATACTCGATACGATGATCAAACAAAGTTAATAAGCTTCTCGATTCTGAGAAATCCATTGATGTTTATGTCTGAAGTTTGCTATGTAACAGTAGATCGAACGGAATGTTCGGTGTTACCCATCGTAATAAAAGCTATTGCTAGTAATTTTATTTAATTTTTCTTGATTCACTAGTATTTTGTGCTATGGAAGACTATAAATTCTTATTTAAAGTAGTACTAGTTGGTAATGCTGGTGTCGGCAAAACTTGTTTGGTCCGTCGATTTACTCAGGTATGTAAATGAAATTATTATTGCGACAGTAAAATTAATCTTGTATTTCAATCAATTAATTGATTACCTATATTTAATTTAATTAATTCTTTATAAAATATACTTTATTGCAAACATTAAAAACTATAATGTTTACCTGTTAATTGTTTCTATTATTTAATCTTAAATTGACAATTAAAGAAATTTAAATTATAATAATTTTTAACATTGACTTCTAAAGCTGAAGATTTTCTTAAATAAGTCATCATTTTACATTTGTCATATTGTTTCAGTTAATTTAAAATATTGCATATACAATTATTCTGTCATTGTATTTTTACCGTCATAAATGTTGTTTTATTAAAATGTGTGTTTATGTTTAGGGAATGTTTCCTCMGGGCCAAGGCGCAACAATAGGAGTGGATTTTATGATAAAAACAATTGAAATAGACAATGAAAAAGTCAAAGTAATTTATAAGTATACTTCACATAATTATGGATTCAATGCATTTATCACAATTATATACTTTTTATGTGTCTTATTGTAAATTGTATGTTTATATTAATAATAAGGAACTCAGAATTAAGAAAAAATTATTTATAAAAATATGGTGAACTTAAAATAGTTTTGTAACCAAATTAAGCTTATTAACCTAATGTTACTTAAATTTATCAAAGTTAGTCAATTTACTTATTGGTTTAAGTGCTATCGACAAAAAATTAATAATGCTATAGTATGATAGATTGATAGGTATTCATATATTCATTATTCGTATCATGCTTGACAATCCCGTTTATGGCATGATAAATATTTGGTTAGATTACATTTACCAATAAGATTTAATTTTTCTTAAATTGTTTTTATGATTCTGCAAGTAAAATAAATTGGGTATTTATAAGATGGTACAATGGTGATTGAAAACCTGCAAAGTTTTTATTTTTAAGTGATAGTTTTATACCCAGAATCTGCACAAATTTCGTTTATTATACCTTATTTTTTTCAACAATCGCAAATCTAGCGTTAAAAAAAATATTGGCAAATAAGATTTTCTAAATAAGTTTATATTAACTAATATTTTGCATGCTATTTTAATTTTATTAGCTCCAAATTTGGGACACTGCAGGACAAGAAAGATTCCGTTCAATAACTCAAAGTTATTATCGATCTGCACATGCTCTAATATTAATTTATGACATAACATCCCAGCCAACATTTGATTGCCTTAATGATTGGCTTCGTGAAATTGATGAATATGCTAATAACAGAGTACTAAGGGTTTTAGTTGGTAAATATTATATTTTTTTAAATGATTAATTAATTATATTTTAAGTATCATTTTATATTTTATTATACTAGGTAACAAAATAGACAAAGAAGACCGTGAAATTCCTTCTCATGTAGGTCAAGACTTTGCTCAAAGACATGATATGCGCTATTTAGAAACATCGGCAAAACAAGCTGACAATGTAGAAAAATTATTTGTTCAAATTGCTTCAGAATTGATGGAGGTAACAAATATATTATATACATTCTTAAATTTCAGAAATGCACTTTTTAATTCCTAAAAATAATATTGAGAATATGTTTGTTGTATACATTATTCAGATGGTTTGAAATGTCAATGAATCATATCACATCAAAATCAAATACTTAAAAGGAAACCACACTCGCATGCATCTTCTGTGTCTTACAAACATAGAACATACCAAAAACTATACTTGCTCGAGTTTTGTCTCCCTCAATATTAATAGTAGAATTATTAGAATTTAACATCGCACAGGTAAGAACTTTATCTGTGTCGTAGCATCATTATTTTGATAGGATTAACTAATAGTTTTTAATAATTAAATGAAAAAATAAAAGTATTTTCTTAATCTAATAACTTTAATATTATTTATTTTATCAAAAAAATAACAACACTACGACACACATTGAGTTCTTACCTATGCATTGTAAAATTCTGATAATTCTATTTTAAATACTGAGGGAGAAAAGTTGTCCCACACTAAATAGTTTTTGGTATATTTAATGTTTGTAAATCGGAGATAGTGCATACAGGTGTGGCGTCCTCTTAACTTTATTTTGTAGATTATTGCATATATTAGTTTATAAACTAAAATAATGTGTACTAAGTGATACAAGACTTATTACACTATTTTAAAATTGTTTTTTCATTTAGGATTAGTGAATATTACTATTTAAAAAGCTAGTTAGTGGGTAATGCTCTGCTTTACATTAAGTGTTTCATAAGTCACTTTTTTATTTTGATAACCACAAATTATAACAATTTATGTAAAATCTTGAATTATATTTTCAAGTTTTTTGAACAATTGAAAATTTTTTATCAACATAAATTTAAAAAAAAACTTATTTAAATCAAAAATTGCATATGCCTAGCTCATCACAAGTCAAAACTATTTTGATAATCATCTATATAAAATACTAATTTAAACATAAATTATAAAATGACAATTCCATATATGTGCACCATAAACTAAAATTGATTTTACGTACAAATTATTATTTTTTCTGGCACTTTGAGAAATAAATGGAAATTTTAAATTTTAACCTCTCAAGACACCAACTAGAATAACTTTCCCACTGGAAAAAAATCAAACCTCTATCTAAACTACTCATCGTGTTTACAAACATAAAAAATAAAATAAAATCACATCATTGTAAAATCAAAACCTTCATCGCTTTGCTCAGAATCTAAAATATATTGTTAGTTTTCTGTAAATCATAATCTGATTTATTTTATTGTTAATTATTTGAATTTTTTTATTTTTCTTCTTATAGCAAGCTAAATCCAAAGGAATATCTTCAGACAGTCCACAGTCTCTACCATTCAACACTAGAACTTCTAAATCCATCAATGATTACTGTTGTAATCGTTGAAAACGTAATAATCAGTATTATTTTTATTATTGTCATTAATATTTAACTGAGCTTATCACAGGGTAAATTGTAATCAAACTATACTTTACCTAAAATCAGTTAGATAATAATGCTTTTAACAAAAAAAAGTTACCTAATAGTAACATGATGAGCAAAAATAATTAGTATTATAGTTCTAACATCAATTGAGTTATTGTTTTATTTATTGATATTTTTATGTTTCATGGTTGTACAAACTACAAGGTGTTGGGATACAAATAAAATGAATTGTATCCAAAATAAATGTGCTCAAATATATTATCATCTATTTGAATTTAACTTGATAACACTATTAATCTGTATTTTGATCAAAATTAATTGTGTTTACAATATCAATGTTCATTAAACAATAATAATGTTTCAAGTATTATTAAACCACATTTCTCATTATTCAACCAAAACTCTGCTAGTATTGTTTGTTTTAATATTTTATGTAATTTGTTTATTTTAACTTTTAACACTTTTAAAATATGTTTGATTAAGTTTTTACCTTTAAATTGAATATAATTGTTTTTATTAAATAAACATATGACCCTTAATAATGTATGTTTTGGTAGCGGAATTAACATTTTTTTTTTTTAAATAATTTAAAATTTTTTGTTATATTTTTTTTCTATTTTTTGTATTCACCCAAATGTATTGTAAATACGTGTTTTAGATGTAAAATAATGTGAACTTAACAATAAAAATATAAAAAGTATGATTAGTTCAATACAAATGTCTTTAAACGATATTTAGCGGAATTATCACCATTTTTTACCCAATTTTTTCCCAAATTTATTTTCTATTTTTTAATTTGGTATTGTTAATTTTCTGTTATTATTTAATGTTTTATATAAATAATGACTGGGTAAAAATATTCTTGTTTTTATCTTCTTATTTTGTAAATTATTTTAAACATTATAAGTATTATGTACTATAAATTATTTGTTATTTTATTAATTGTTTCTACTTATTCACTCTTTTAAAATTATATGTAATAAACTTAAGGATAACAATATTATATCAGCATTTTCATCAGGAAATATACTTACAATAATACATTATTTAAGAATTCAAGTACTTATATTTTTTTACTGATTATAAAGCAGTTAAATGCATGTTCTAAGTCTGGCATAGACTTAAACGCCAATTCAAAATAAAAATATGGCTAATTACTGATAAATAATAGAATTAACATATTTTAGTGACGTATATAAAATAAAATATAGTTAAGAATGATTTTAATTGTAGATTATTAAAAATGTTGATTTCATTTTTGGTATTTGTTTGTAATCTTAAAATAAATAAATCATTTTTAAAAGATTTAATAACTACCTAATAAATTACAGTTCCAACACTAAACTATTGTATTTTTTCAAGATGTATAYTAATCAAAGGTTGCTCTCATAAATGAAACTAATGTATGTCTGTATCCACTTAGTCATGCATTTTTATTAGACTTCAAATATTATCAAGCAATTGTAAATTACTTTACAGTTAACCGGTTGTAAAAATTGTATAGTTAATTGCACTCCTAGTTTCTAATTGACTGTAAAATTCATCAATATCTTTATAAAATACTGATATACTGTTGTACATTTATTGCTAATGTATTTACAGAACTAATATACCCACCTGTTTGTTTTCGTATTATCAACCTAACCTCTAAACAGATTAATGAGACCATTATTCAATAGTAGTATACATTTTTGAAATAGGTCAAATAATTTTAMAATAAAAACATGTTAGTTAACTGTTAACAATTGGAAGAAAATAAGTAACAACTTTACATAAATCTAACATTTCAATGAAATACATAGAACATAACTATTAATAACTATTGGGTGTCCAAGGCAGCCTTAACATTTAGCATTTTCAATAYGTGACATAAGTGCATTATTACAATATTTTTTATTTTTAAAATAAATATATCTCTTATTGTAATAGATAAATATAGGCCTACTTCCTATAATTTTATGATAACATGAGATGTTTTGTAAAAAATGAATTTGACAAAAAATTGGTGGGGGTCTGCGATTTCTAAAATATATACCTATATATACCTAACCTAACCTTGGAAATGATTTACCATAACATATCTGTGAATCTAATTACAAAACCAGAATTTTGATATCTTCATTATTTCATGAGTTATTGCAATGGATAAATCCTAGCAGTACACCTGTATATTTTTTTATAACATTAAAGTACAATTATTGATAACTAAATCAGTCTTAAATTATATTGAATAAGTAATAACTTTTAGAAATTAAAACATAAAATTAAAAATTAAGAATTAATTACAAATAATCCAATCATTAATTTACTTATAAAAAATGTTTTATCATAACCATAGATGTATCATAAAGATTTTTTTGTGTCTCTTCATCATCAACATATGGTAAATATTTTGCAGATTGACAATTCGCATAATAACCACCACATCCTTCTAATATTGGAGAAACACAAGCATAAGCAACACATCGTGACCCTTCTTCTGGAGTCTGAAATTAAAAATATATTTATAGATATAGAACTGACCAAAAAATGTATTTACATTATACTTTGCAAATGTAGTTCAATATCCACGGCATTGTCATTTTCAACAATGTTCCATTAAATAATTCTGTATTTACAATGCCAGGATGCACAGCCAAAACTTGAACATTAGTATTTGCTAGTGTTTTATTATAATATTTAGTTGACATTAATTGAGCTAGTTTAGACATTGCATAAGCTGCATTTGTAATATAACCTTGACTAAAAAAGTAAGTAATATATACAATAGAATAAGTATATTTTCATTATGAACAAATTTTAAAACCATATTAATTGTATTATCAAACCTGTTYCTAATTAAGCTGAAATTAATTAGAGGAGAAGCTTCATGAGCACAAGAAGAAACATTTATTACTCGTGCATGCTCATTTGTCGATCCTGACTTTTTCAGAGCTGGTAATAATAATTCTGTTAATAAAAAATGACTCAAGTAATTTATAGTCCAATGTGCTTCATAACCATCTTCACACTTTTCATATGGTACAAACATAACACCAGCTATAATAAAAAAAAATATATATATATATATATATATACTGTAAGTATATTTATATGTAATATGTTTTTAGAACACCAACTATTATTTTTTTGAAACTGTTTTAGTAATGTAGCAAATCAAAAAATTTATAAAAACTGATAAATATAACTAAATGAAATAAGTCTAACCACTAAATTCTGGGTGGGACATTGTCTTTAATTTGTTTAAATATGTATGATATATTTAAAAAAATAAAAATTACAATTTACAATAGGTATAATATATTATATTGAAGGATAATATAAATTGAATACTTATTTTTTTAATTTCGACTAATGAAGTAACAAATAAATATGATTAAGTAAATAACAACAGTTTCTTTCAGAATTTCAAATTTGAATACTCATATTATAATCTAATTATACGTTTAAATCCAATTTTTATTATAAACTAATACAAATTACAACGGTACAGTTTGGAAGATGCTAAAAGCTGCAATAGAATGCCTATGATTCAAATGATTTAAATATTTGTTAATTATGAAGTGGGCCTCCACAAAGGGGAGGGGTCAGAAGGCCTTATGGTACTAGGACCCAGCATTCATACAAATAGTTACTTCAATATATTTTAGAAAAATGTTTCAAAATTAATTGTTATTTAAGAGGGGCCTGGATTTAGTTTTGTACATGGGCCAAAAATTTGGTGTACGGTGCCTGATTACGGGATACCATGGGAATATTTATGTTTTTTTGTTCAAGCCACCATTTGATTTTGTCTCTGGTTGTGATCTATGAACTTATATAGTTAAATTGTATGTTTACCATTATTTACAAGTATATGAATTTGATCATGATTGGTTAATACTTGTTGAGCAAAACCTTTTACCGAAGTAAATGATTTAAGGTCTAGTTCATATATTTCAATAGATGCATCTGACGGAATATGCTGTTTGATTGTTTTTTGACCTGCTTTCACATTGCGGCATCCTAAAAAGAAAAAATGTATTAAAATATGAAAATATATAGAAATATCAGTTTATTTTTAAATATAATATACCTACTAACACTACAAATATATATTTAATAATAAATGAAGATTACCTATTACAATATGCATCTCACATTGAACTAGTTTCTTAACTACTTCCAGGCCAATACCTCGAGCTCCTCCTGTAATAACAGCTACTTTTCCTTGTTTTTTGATAATTTCTTAAATAAAAAAATTAATATATATATTATATAATATAATAGATTTAATAACTTTAAATTTGCATCAAATACCTTAATAGTAAATATATTGATTAAAATATAGCATTTGATTGTCTTACCAAACTTATTTTTATCACGATCTTTTAAATCATCAAGAACGGCAAAAATTCCCAAAAAATAATAACAAATTTTATATTGTACGATTTTAAAATATGTTGACAGAATTCGAAACATTTTTTATTTCTTTATTGCACACTTACAGACTAAAAATATTAAACAATTGTCTCAAAGTATTAGTTTCTATTACTTTAAATACACCATAGATAATATATACTTATACTATTATATATATTAATATATTGTGTAAGTATATATCTGTGATATTAATATACTATTAYAATTTATGAGTCTTAATAGTCTTATCCTATGAATAGTACAAAAACTTTCTCTTTTTACTAGCGAAATGTTTTTATATAATTTTGACTATGTAAGTAAAAACATCAATAATACGTAAACAATATAATAATTAACACTGTTAACGATGCATAGAATGATAGAATAAAAATTAAAGAATCATACAATAAGTCAATAATAGAGGTAGTATAGCCGTGCAGTAGTGCAGTACTGCAGTACCGCAGTGGCCAGTGAGCAATTATTGGCAAAATGGCAATAGCTAAATCTAAATGGCAAATGCTAATCAATAATTATGTAATATGTATTTGGAATAATGGAAATAAAGAATTAGGACAAAATGACAGTAGGAGTATTCAGTATAGTCCTATTCATACAGGTTAACACTGAAACTGAACTGAATTCTGAGGACGCTCACCCGCGGCATCCTGTAAGTTGTTTCCGTCTTACAACTTTACAAGACAAGTGCGTAACATACCAAATTTTACGYTCAGCAGCGCTGATCACGTTTAGCTCCGTTAGTTAAAAWTTTTTAGTAAGTTGACATCCTATAAAAATTGAAGATAACATTATTATAGAGGGCTTCTCAKAGGCTTTTTATTATATTTTAATTTTAAAGCGATTTATGAGTATYTAAGATGAGCGTAAAATTTGCCATGTTATGCATTTGTAAGACGAAATCAACACAATATGCGGCCCRTCGCCCACGCGGGTGTAGACTAGACAGTCTGTGTTACTAGTGTTAGTAGTGTCCTCATAATTACRCCGTGATTCGCCGAGCATGCTCAGATCCGAAAGTTTAGATTCTAAACCGTTGTTACTCGTTACATTTCTTCAAATTCTGTTTTTCAGTTTTTTGTCACAGAAATACAGTACACAATATAAACTAGGGCCTAAGAAATAAACATTCTAAATTCTAATAGGTATTTTTGAAAATTCCAAGTTAGGAAGTTACCATACAATACAGAGATATATTAAACATTTCAAAAATTCAAAATAAAATTATTAATTATACCTAAGACCATTGATTATAAATGYTAATCGAAACATTCTGTGAGTTCAATCTAAAAAAMCATTTTAAATCATTTCGCACAGTTGGCCACGCTACAGCCAGTACATAAACACGACAACTCGGTCAACTACACGACTGTATATTGCAGCTTATATAGGTTATATTGCTACAGAATTGATATGATATTGTTCTGTGATATGAATATATGATAGGTATTTACTATTTTGATTTTAGTTCCTGATGGGAACGGAATTGAAAATACGAGAACCGCTCCACAGCTGTTTGATATTTTGATCATCTGTTTGTACCTTTCTCTCTTTTGTTGTTGTTTCATTTCATTTATAACCAAAATTTGATCATCCTTTGTTTGAAAAAGACTCTCTTCAAAACAGAGCTGCGCTTGCCGCTCCGATGAGCGAGTTTCGTTGAACAAAAAATAGTGATCAATATTTCTGTCAACTGTTTATCGTACTATCTTGATCTCGGCAGTGTCTTCAAAAAGAACTCAGGGTGTCGTTGAATCCGGCTACTTATGCTCACCGGTACACCTATTTAAGACAAACGGCTCTGTAGAAACGACTTTCAAAACTCGTCAAAAATGTTTTTGTCGTGCAAATGTCTGAACATCCAAATTGAAATCAAAGATGAACCTATCAAATTTGATAAACGTTTGTTGGGTGGTGGTTTCTTTTCAAAGGTAAAAGTCAACTTTTGCCATTTCAAATTTCTTTCATACATTATAACAGAAACTTTCGTATTTTTTTTTAGGAGTTGCTGTGTAGCGAATTGATTGCTGTCACTAAGCGCCAGGACTGTTTGATTCTCGAAGAAAGAGCTTCTGGGTGGTCTATATTCAAATGTCTCAACTGTGATATAATGTGTTATGCTGTATCTTCGGATAAAAACATACCAACAGTTTTAATTAGTCCCGATTTATTGGTAAGATAAATCAACAAATTGTTCCTTGATGTATATTTCCTTGGTTAAAGTATAATAATTTTATATTGGTAGCTTTTATAAAATAAAAAAATCAACAAATTGGTTCAATTAATTGTAGTTTGCTTTTTAAATTTTTTTTTTATGATATGAAAAAGGTGAAATATAAATTATGTAGATGTTATAGATCTAATATATTTGAATCTACAAACAAAGGCACTGTAAATAAAATCAGATTTCATAAAAGTCTGGTTTATTTATATATATTTATTTAAAAGTTAATTATATTATGTTTATGTACATAAAATTATACTTTTATATGATATACAGGGTGTTCTGCGAGGATTTACTGATTGCAATATCTCCTGAGATACTAAATATACCTTTAATCTGTTTGTTTTTTTATACTCGCATAGACAAGAGCTTAGTGCAWTTTTTTTAAAATTAAATTAATTTTTTGTTAAAAAAGTTAAAAAATWATCTTTTAATTTTTGAAAAAAAAATAAAGATACCTATTTTATAGAATTTATTTTTCTGAAAATTTTGACCTTTCAATATTTTATTTTCATTAATTTCACGATTTTTWATATTTTTTTATAGATAAAATGGCAAAAAACTGGTTTTTATCCAGTGGAGTCCCCCACTACAGCTAATGAGTATATCCTCACRGAACTCCTGTATAGAATAGAGGTGGTTAGGATCGGGCAGTAAAAAGATATATAGAATATTATAAAACATTTCATTGACAGATCTTATTTCAACCCCTTTACTCTTTAGTCATACAGTGCATATTGGAGTATTGGACTTAATACAAAACACGGGCATTTCACTTATAATTATATTGGCAATATTTTAGGTCATTAAACTGACAAAAAATTATAATGTAATATTTTTATTGTACCTATAATATTGATTTAAGTTTAAAAATGTATACTTATAAATAAATAAACCGAACTTTTACGACATCAAAGTTTTAGGTAGAATCCCATTATATGTTACAATTAGTATAATATAATTTTGATCATAAAATGCCTATGACTTATAGTTATATTATATTATTAAAATATTTATTTTATAATGTTGATAACCCTAACTATGTTTGAGTACTTTAAGATTATTAACACAACATGAATTGTTTTTCTGGGTCACATATTATTTTTAAATCACTGATCTAGGTAAAAATGTTATTCTATTGCTAGTTAATACAGCTAAATTAAAAATTAAGACAACCATAGTACCCAGTTTTTGAAACCTTAACCTTGTTTTATAAGCTATTTGTTTCTAACTTTTATTTTAAATATAATATTTTGGTTTTAGATTAATTTAAATAACACCTGAGCCAATAGCCTTCTCAATTCTTTAATCTTAAATTGTATTTTTAATTACAAATAAAAAAAACTTTAAATTTTAATATTTTTAAACTAGTCTAGTATGAATAAATTCTTGTAAAATTGTATTTGTTTATGAGTGATTTCAAAAAATATTTTTCTTAAAATAGGTACCGGTTATTACAATAATTTATAATATAATAATATAATTTTATATTATTCACATATGTACATCATTTTTTTTCACTAGTTTTACCAAAAAGAAATGGCACATTATAAAACCTAAAACCAAGACATTCAACTAAAAAAAATAATAAAAATTTTTTTTATTTATGTGGGACTTAAACCGTATAATTTTTACTTTGATAAAAATGAACTATTCAGTACAACTGACACATAATAACTTTTTTTGTTATGCATAAATTATTAATCTTAATTCTTAAATAATGTTGTTTTCGTTATCTCAATCAACTCTGTTTGACTATGTATGATTGTATTTATTTTTATTATTTACAGACTGATCCAAAACAAATACAAGAGCTWAAAAATTCTGAGTGCTTTTCAACAATTTATGAAATTGTTATTAATTGGACTGATTCCAATCAATTATATTCTCCACGTCTATCAGGTAAGTCTTTTTTTTCAATTTTTAAGCCATAAAAGAAAATATTATGTAATTTTTAATCTAAAATTAATTTTRAAATAGGTATGCAAGATTAATGTAAACTTTATAAGCTATTACATATTTTTAAGATGCAATTTTTAAACGTTTTCCTACTTTTGTCTTACATAAATCTACTTGAAAATTCTTGCGTTCGAGAAAAAATTGGCTCATAAACAATTTAACATATTAACAAAGTCTCTATCTCTTATTACTTTTTTTCAACATTCTATTATTCATATTCTAAAAAAATAATAATTACATGTTATACAATTTTCTTGTATAATTTTTTAGAGTTCATGCTAATTCAATTTTTATTAACTCTTCTCTTGTTTCACTTGATTTCCCTAATTCTTTTAAAAATCTAATTTTCCTTTATATTCCTGCTCAACTCTTTTTATTTGACATCTTAAAATCCTTATTTAATTTAAAATTAAAAATTAAAACAAATTTTTTCCTTGAGTGAGATTGTAAGATGCAGGCACAATAAAAATTTCACAAACATAATATTTAACAAATGAAGTCACAATCTAGATCTTTTACTTTAATATTCATAAATGAATCATACATGAAGAGTATAAATTATCAAATAGTTAAAAGATGTTAATTCAAGAATTTAAACATTAACCTTGAAGGATGACAACCTTCATAATGTTCATATGGAATATATGAATCAATATTCATTTCATGTACTAACTAAAGATAAAAATGACGAAGAAAAAGAAGAGTTTTATGATGTACAGAAAGATATTTGYGAGTTATGATACAATGGAGGGAAATATAATAATTGCACTTTGCTATCTAAATGCRAAAATGAGATTAAGTGCAGGAATCACAGCCTCTGAGAATGCTCTAAGGATTTTGGCACAAGACTAGCATTCAGAAAGAGATCAGAGTTAAAAGCACATTTGCCCATGCAAGGATATATACAAATATTCTTGKTGATCACCTGATAGGAGACATTATTTGAAAGACTTATTAATAAAAGAATGGTTACATATAAATGGAAAAAAAACAGAGTATGTACATACGAATATTTGATCTATTGCTTTGTCGGTCCATAAAAATAAATCAGTATAAATTTAAAAATATAAAACAATTCAAATACACATTATATGAACAGAAGAAAAATGAAATAGCAAACATGGCAGCTGCAAGGATTTTAACAGTATACAAATATTGAAATATTATTGTCTCATAGACTCAAGTGGTCTTAGAGGTTGTTTTTGGCAGTATCATCTGCAAAAGTGGTCAAGTTGGTATTATTTGTTTGTCTGCTGGATACAATTTATACAAAGCAGGTGCAACAATACTGCCTTGAGGGACACCTACTTGTATTGGATGAATATTTGAATATTCTTCTTTATGTCGTACTACAAAGGAGTGGTTTATGAGAAAAAAATTTTAGGTAAGGTATAATAGAGTGGATAGGAAGATGAGTTTATAAAATAGCCCGTCGGGATAGTGCCTGAACAACGTTGAAGAAGACACTTGAGCAAAAATGTTTGTGTTCAAAAGAAAAGGCAATGTCAAATTTGAAAATTGACCAAATCAAGCGTTAAGAATAATATTCTTAGCATTTAMAATTGGAGTAATTCTTTTAGGATAATTTTTTCAAGGATTTTGAAGAACGTTGGTAATGGGGTTAAAGAGGGTAATGGGTCTACAAGAAGAGGGCGTATCAGGAGGCTGACCTGGTTTGTGAATAAGAAAAATAACTGAGTTTTTCCAAAAGAAAAGGAATTATAGCTAGTTCCTATAGGGTATAGGACAGCGGTTCCCAACCTTTTTGAGATTATTACCCATAAGTCAGGTTATATATTAACAAATACCCCCCGATCCCAAAAAAAAACAAAATATATATTATTACAATTTCATTTACAGTCATAATACACATGAGTAAATGGATAATAAATACTTAAAATACAAATAAATAGTATAACTTTTACCCCCAAAAAATTGTGTTTTTACCCTTAGGGGGTAATTACCCCCAGGTTGGGAACCGCTGCTATAGGAGGAGTATGCTATTATAGATATGCTTAAATATTAAGATTGCTTTTTTCAGTAGATTCCTTGTAATAACATAAGTTATCAGATCGTGGCCAGGTTATTATTATTTTATAATTTTCTAATAATTTTTAGAATTTCGGAAGGGTCAATTATGTTTTGTCAGAAGATACATTGGTAAAATGTTGGTTAACAAGGTTTCAAAATGGTGGCAGTGGTCTAACTTGAATATATCTGTGTGAGGAGTAAATCTGCTTTCAAGGTTAGTGCTGAATAGATTTGCTTTTTCTAAGTTCGATGAGGCTAATGATCTGTCTATGTAACGTAGGAGAGGGGTGTTTTATTTGTCCTTAAGAATATTTTTTGATGATTTCCACATTGAGTTGTCTGAAGCGGTGAGAGATTTTAGATATTGTAGGTATTTTAAAGTTGTAGTTTCAAAGTACATTTTTTGGAAGTTAATAAGAGTATTATAATTTTTTTTGTCACTAGGAAAGTTCGTTCTTTGCCATATACAGTGGACCTTACGTTTTTCTGAAATGAGTTGTGTTATGTGGGGAGGTAAAACTAGTGGATTTGGGAAGAATTTCTTGCTGCGTTTTGAACGACCGTTATAAATTAATGGATAGAATTTTCYAAATCTAAAGGTGTTTTAAAGGAAATGTTGAGCGGAATCAGGTAATCTATAGTTAATATATCATTAGATTTGAAAGAATGAATGTAGATATTTTGTTTTTTGTTTTCTTGGTAGAGTAATCCGTTGTCATTACATAAAATAGATTGAAATCAGGTGATGAATAATACTTTGTGTATTTACCATTATTAGGACGGACGAGTTTTCTATGAGAGAATTGAGCATAGAGATTAAGAATTGATAGTTGGAGGCTAAATAAATGACACCATTTGGAGAGCTAGGKTGTCAGTGTTCGAGGTATCAGTAGGAGGGTTAGACTGATTAAATGGGCCGTTATTAGTTACTTTTGCATAAAACTTTTGAAAAGAATTCGTATCGGAAGAGGTGTTTACATTAGTATCAGTGTAGGTACGATAAACTTCAGTTGGGTATGACTTCTCATAATAACGTGAGGCTTGGATTTTTTTGTACACTGAACAGCCTCTGTAGTTAGCCTAGCTGCAAAGCGCTCATTCGACAGGTGAACTAGCAGATTTTATGCAGACATCCGAGGTATGAGGATCTCCGCGGCAACGTATTTTGGGGGATGACTACAATATGATTTGGTGGGGCTTAAACCTTGGCACCAGACTACCAGAGACATTGAATTGGTTGATGTTTTGCTCGAGGTTCTTCGAATTTTATTTTTGAGTTGTATAAGTGGTCGATATTAAACACGTCTTTATTATTAATATTGGACTCTAAGTCTACGAAAAATAACGGCAGAAATTGTTTAGTGATGCGCTGTAACGCATTTGTTAAGTTTCGTGGTATATACTCAAGAGTAGTATGTTAATTTTTGAAATTGGAGTTGAGTGATGGAAGTTTCTAATGACTAATCTTTGAGTTGATAAGTATGAAAATCGGCTTCATTGGATTGTAAAAATTTAATTACAGTGCGATATGAATCAGTAGAGCTAGTAGAGTTTGATAACGTTTATAKAACTTTAGCATAAAAAAGGTTCCTCTTTTGTTCTTTCCTTAATGTCGTCACTGAAGGCAGTGTGTATAAATATAGGCGGTGGATGTTTGATTCGAGAGGTGAGGATTCGTCTAGGACGGGATCTCGTTTTTATTTTTTCGRTTTGGTCAACCAAGTCAGAGAATTTTGAGTGACAAATTGTTCCGTGTTTGTTACTGGGTTTGTGAAAAGCGGATTTGCACATTTTTTCCCAGTTGGAGCGATCCAGTTTTTCTCAGATTCTGAATGAGCAAATTGATTCAGTGAATTGTTTGACACACTCTGTATACGCATTTTAGAAATAATTAATGGAGATTCCACGGTTTTAGATTTATATGACGCCATGGTGCACTGCTGATAATTAGGTTATCGAACGTCGATAAGACGTACGGCACACGGTACGTGAGTACGTGACACACGGCAAACGGCCAGGAACGACCGTAGCGCGGCCGCCGTACAGAAGATAACAGTTATTCTAGTTTCTAGTAATTAAATTTTCAACGTTACCGGAATTAAAAGAGATGCAGGAACAGCCGTTGACGAGGTGTCTTGTCCGTTTGCCTCAGCTTCTTTTTCTCAAGAAGTACGTCTTTGAATGAAAAGAATCAGTGCAGTAAAAAAAAATAAATACGATTCGAAGTAGTAGCGGACGATGTTTCATSAACAACTGTCAATTCATCAAATATATAGACTTATAGTATATATGTTACGGGCAAAGTAGAAAGTTGGGCATCACGATTAAAGATAATATTATCTTTAATCGTGTTGGGCATTATGCACAGTGCCCGGTCATTGTGCACAATGCCCGATTTTCAAGGGCAAAGTTGGAATAAGTTAACGTTGCCCGGGCATTGTATACAGTGCCCAATTAGATTTGGGCACAGTAGATTAAATATTGAATATTATATAAAAAATTAAAAATAAATAAAGTTGCACAGCTTTAATATTTAATTAATTTATTATTAAATTACAATTATTATTTATTTGCTTTATTTATTACCACATACACCACTATTATGACACTTTGAGTTGCAAAGACGACCAGATMTTTTAMATTTACACYGGTTGGTCTTACACAATGTATTGCAAGTACACCTATCGTACCCTTGGCTACCCAAATTAGAAGATTTTCTTGCCACTTCTCTTAATGAAATTTGTACTRGTGGTACATCATCAGCCTGGATAAACACCTCTTTACATATTGTGAATTGGTTCCGATTGTAAAGTTGATGTAGTCTGCCCTCGTTAGTTCCAATTTCATATAAATTATCTTTTACTATAAAAAAAATTATTTTAAAATTAATTACCAGAAAGTATAACTCCCAGAATACATCGAAGATCACATCTGCCCACTTGAATCTGGGCAGGGTACACTTTGCCCGGGCAATCTAGTACAATGCCCGGTCAATGTATGACAAATTTGAGTATTAAAATGATCATTCTTACATTGGTCAAAATGTTTGGGCATTGTTATACAATGTCCGGATTTCCTACTTTGCCCGTAACATATAWAGTTCAATCAWTGAGTCGATATAATATAATGGGAGAGAAGAGATTCAGAAAGAATGGAGCTGGAAATATTGAAAGTTATCAAAAAAGAATTGTGGATTGACTGTCAATATTTAAAGAAATCWAAAATTGCTGCTTCGTGCAGTGATGGAACCGTATCTTGTGAAGGGAAGATCTATTTTAGGAATACTAAATATGCGCATAAAAGATGTCATCAAAAGTTGTATTGAACGTTTGAGTCTTTGGGAGTTTATTCTAATTGGAGGAACCCCTAGTACTTTGCAGAGAAGAACAGAAACTAAGTTGTACAATAACATGATCCTGAGGCCACAAAAAACAAAGAAGACATTTTTACTGATTAATTATTATCCTCTTAAACTCTACATAAATTGTTAGTTAACACATTATGTATTAGTTCTATTTTGTATTTACTATTTAGGAAATTCCACACTTATGTTTTTCTGAAATAAAATAAAGCTTCCTTATTSCAACATACTAACCTTAGGTGTTTACTCTCATAATGATTTTAGAAACCTCATTGAATGTATTATGTCGTATATTTTAAATACTTTGAGTTTGTTTATCATTCCTTTAAAATGTATCTATTTTTATGAGAACCATTTATAATGACTATAACGTCTATAAGTAAGGCTGAGATTACAGTACRCTGTATTGTTTTCTAAAAGTATGCAATGCTTGTTTTATTCCAAGTATATTTAATTTTGAATCAGAGTAATAAGTTTTATAACACATTTTTTTATGAATTTTTATTTTAAGTCTAAAAAATGTTTGGAGTTCTTGAAACAAAAATTTTATTTCGAAATTTTTACCTAAATTTATATGTCGGACAATAGTTATGTGATCCATCTAAAATGTGATAAATATATTGTAAACAATTATACTTATCTATTTCTAAYTTTTAAATTTTATTGAAATTAGGAATGGTGCCCCCAAAAGTCAAAGCACTGCAACGACAAATGAGTGAAGTAGTTGAAAAAGAAACAAAAGCTGTAGAAGATAAAATAAGAAAATTCACAGAAAATCAATATTCAACTTTGGAAGAATTCAGAACTAAAGCTCAAAATGATTATCAGACTTTAGCTAGGTAAGATATTTTAAATTTTTACTTTCCAATATTTTTATACAATATTAATGTTTTTAGAATATTATCTGAAAAAGAYAAAAAGCCTAAATTTGAGAATTTACCTGCTCGAACAAGTACTAACAAAATGTCATCTCCTATACAACAGTTACCAAAACCAACAATTACTACGCTCAAGAATAATCCAACAATGAATTTAATGGATTTTACATTCAAGCCTTATACCAAGGTATTATTAAAATTTTTTTTTTATTATAATTATTATTTATTTATTGTTYCATTATTTGTTTAGGGTAATGAAAATAGTGTATCATCAAAAACTAGTCTAGTTAAAAAACCTACAGTTGGGGGGAGTAATGATAGCGGATTACCTCCAGCATCGTTTGATGCAGAAGGATTGTTTCCTCTTGAAGATATGGAAAACCTTAAGATAGATTGTGCTTCTGATGATGATCTTTCTGAATCTGAAGGTAATAATTATTAATTAATCAAATATTTTGATTTGTTACTAATCAATAATAATTTGTTTAGGAGAATCTGGAAGCCACGATGAAGGTATTTACATTCCGCATCACAAAAAATTAGACATGGCTATATCTTTACCAGTAGATGTACCCAGATTTATGGTCCACAGTGGAAGTGTTCCAAATGATATTAATCCTCGTATTCCAGTAATTTATTATAATTTTATGAAAAGGAATTCCTTAACAATACAATTTTTTTTTTWAATTAGGTTGGACGTGATACTGAAAATAAAATGGATATTGCTGCAAGCATTAAAGCATTAGCAAAAAGTGTTCATGGTGATAGAATTTTTGGAGATCTACCTAGGCCACGCTTGGGATCTCAAATTTGAAATAAAATTGATTATTTTTTTTGTTAAATTATATTATCATTCAGTAATATAAATTTTAGAATCTGTAAAACATATTTTCCAAAAATTGGTCTACTATAGATCCTATTTAAACAGGCAATGAAGCGTTGATTTTCAAAAGTATAATTGATTACTTTTAATTTACATGCTTACAACTATTTTGGAAATATTTTTAATTATTTAAGTGTGATAAATCTAAAAGTACAAGATTTATAAGAATATATATTATATATATTATACAGTATATATGTATAATGCATATATTTTATTTTAATAATCGCTTTGATTTTGTATTACGCTTATATTGTTGTTTTAAGTTCRTACGTTTTAAATTTTTTCTATATATATTTTTAAAAATGAAAGATTGAAATCAATTTTTACATTAAATCTACTTTTATTATGTAATATAAATATTGTCTTGTTATTTTATTTTTAAGTATGATACCTTAGACTTATAATATTTTGTAAGTATGTTTTGTACATTGCGATTATAGTGATTTCGCATTTWAACCRTTTCTTAAGTACCTTTTATTTTTATACACACAACATTGTGAACTGTTATATATCTAGAAATTGAAATGACTATATATATTTATTTGATTATAGCCTACAAAGTAATTGGTCCAATTAGTAAATGTAAATAAAAAAAAACAGCCAGGGATGGGCAAG